TTTTGCTCCCCCGATGGCTCAAGCAAGGGGCAGTTCCGCTCGGGAGGGGCCTCGGTAAAAGCTCGGTCGGTAAACGTTCTTTTTTTTTTTTTTCCGAGGTTCGTTTTCGAATCCGTCAAAGATACGATTCCGATCTACACCCCCCCYCCCCCCCCACAAAAAAAAAAGAAAAAAAGAAAAAAAAAAGAGAAAGGTCGAAGTAATCCGTGGAAGGGAACCCGTTGGATCTAGCAGGTATCTCCCATATAGGCTTTATAACGTTCTGAGTTGTGTTGTTGATTAGTCACGTGTCCCTCCCCAATCAATAGATGGGTAATTAACTCCCATGGGGGCAGTATTCAGTATCCACCGCTGCGATGTGGACCGTACCGCCTATCGTCTTGAACCCCGAACACAACGCACCCTGAAAATGAATGTAGACAAGCCATGTCTCCGGCCCGGTGGAGCCAAAATGAGGGTGCGCTGTGTTCGGGGGAAGACGGGAGTTGCAATGGCAGGCAGGAAGTCAGTAGTCGGTATCCGCCGCTGGGATGTGGAGCTTAGCACCTACCCGTCTTCACCGCGGAACACAACGCACCATGATAATGAATGTATACAAGCCATGTTTCCGGTCCGGTGCGGGCAAAATGAGGGTGCATTGTGTTCGGGGGAAGACGGTAGTTTCAATGGCAGGCAGGAAGTAGAAGTGTGACTATGAGCGTACTATACGTTCGGCTGCTTCCCCATGTATAGTATAGTATAGTATAGTTTTTTAAAATATAAAAAATAAAAATAAAAATACGGGTGGATCTGAAAGTGCGTATAGTATAATATAGTATAGTATAGTATAGTTTTTTTCTAATATAAAATATAAAAATACAATATAAAAAATACGGGTGGATCTGACTCCTATTCGCAGACTCGCACGGAATTCTTTAGCAACCTTTTTTTTGTTTTTTTGTTTTTTTGTTTTTGGTTTAGCTTTAGCAACCTTATTTATCAAGAAGAGAAGGGGGTGCAAAAACTCAACACCTCCCCATGGCAGACAAGAAAGGGGGGGCGGTTGAACTCGGTAGTAGGACCCTCCGTAAAAAAAAAACTTGGAACAAGATCTTTTTGAAATCAGTCTAGGGAGGCTACAGTCTTCCCCCGAATACAACGTACGGTCATTATAGCTGAATTTGGTGTATCTTTCAGTCTACATTCAGCTATAATGACCGTGCGTTGTATTCGGGGGAAGACTGTAGGGTGAGTAAAGGCGTGGGTCAAAGGGGGGGTTAGGTTAAGTAAAGGGCCCTCCTTTTGTAATGAGAAAGAAAGAAAAACAAAGACCTTTGGGGAGAGCATCTGCCCATTAATCAATCTCGTTGAACCTTCGAGAAGACCACCTGTCAGTCAATCGACCAAACGAATCGACCAACCAATCAACTAACCAATCAACCAACCTATCAATCAATCAATCAATCGATCAATCAACCAATCAACCAATCAATCAATCAACCAAACAATCAACCAATCAACCAATCAACCAACCAACCAATCAATCAATCAATCAATCAATCAATCAATCAATCTATCGATCTCCATCTTCCTCGGTGTGATCACTTCGGCTGACAACATGCAAAATGCCTTGCCGCCTCTCTCTCTCGCGCTCTCTCTCCCTCCCTTGCTCCCTCCCCCCCCCCCCCCCCCCCCCCCCAGAAAAACCCTTCTGCCACTGAATACCTACACCTAGCTATAAGGAAAATCTCTCTCTCTCTCTCTCTCTCTCTCTCTCTCTCTCTCTCTCTTACACGAACACAGCATCGCGTGGGCGCCCCAAACTTTTCTCTCTCTTGTGCATGTGTGCACAGGAATAACCTTTCTTTTTTTTTTTTTTATTGGTCCGATGGACCACGGATCAGATATTAAACTGAGCAGAACAGATACTACACTTGATCTACTTTTAGCCAAAAGGCCGAGAAAGGTATAGGAATAACCTTTCAATCACAACTGCCTCTCCTCTCTCTCACTCACACACACACAAAAAAAAAAAGAAAAGGAAAAAAAAAAGAAGTATTCACAAAACAAATTCAAAATCAATTTAACCATTTGAAACACACACACTACGGGCTGCGCACCCGTGCCGTCGCGGCAAGTCAATAGGTCCCGGAATTCCAACGTAGGCCCAACCCCCTTTTCAATGCAGGTCCCAGAGTTCCAATGTAGGTCCCGGAATTCCAACATAGACCCAAGCCCCTTCTCAATGTGGGTCCCAGAGTCCCAATGTACGTCCCGGAATTCCAATTGTAGGCCCAACCCCCTTCTCAATGTACGTCCCAGAGCTTCCAATATAGGGCCCGGAATTCCGACATAGGCCCAAGCCCCCCCTTCTCAATGTAGGTCCCAGAGTTTCAATGAAGGCCTGCCCCCTTCTCACACAGGGGGCGGAGTTCCAATTTAGGCCTGCCCCCTAAACCCTTGTCAATGCAGGTCCCACAGCGTCAATGTAGGCCCAATCTCCTTCTCAATGTAGGTCCTATAATTTCAGTACAGGCCCCAGAGTTTCAATGAATTTGTTTTTTTTATTAGCTAAACCTTTTCTTGTTCTACGCATAGAAAAACCCTCGTTTATTTGCACACAAATGACTGAAGCTTTGAAAACATATATGGAAATTTCCCTAAGCTTCGCCCTTTTTTTTGTTTTCCTTTTTTCAGTTATCAAATTTGGTGTTTTGTTATTCCTAGTTGTTACAAACCACAAAGGGTCCAATGGACAAAATTGTTCTATTTGAGTGTAATTTCTTTCTTGTTGGTAAATAGCCATTACTGTCAAGAATAAGCAAATGGAAATTATAAATGATGTACATCTTCTTGAGTATCTAGCAAGTTTGACCAGAGCACTTTTTGATGACCCGGGGACCAATTCCTCGAGTAAGTGCTTCGAATTCTTCTAGGTATATACTTCAACTTTCCTGCCAGCTTACGCTACGGCGCTTGCCATGCCATTTGCGCAGCACTAAGAGGCGGCAAAAGTTGCTTCGCTTGTAGTCTCTGAGGCTCCTCTTCGATCAAACTATGGCGAGCCTGCTGATTGACCAATGAATTTGGAATTTTACAAAATGATTTAAAAAGGGTTATTGCTTATTCTACTTGTAGCCAATTAGGTTATATGGTATTCGCTTGTGGTATCTCCAATTGTTCTGTGAGTGTATTTCATCTGATGAACCATGCTCTTTTTAAAGCATTACTTTTTTTGAGTGCAGGTTCTGTGATTCATGCAATGTCTGATGAACAAGATAAGCGCAAAATGGGAAGATTAGCTTCTTTGTTACCTTTTACTTATGCTATGATGCTAATAGGCAGCATGTCTTTAATTGGATTTCCTTCTTTAACTGGATTTTATTCGAAGGATGTGATGGTACCAGTTCATATTTGGTTACCTGAAGCTCATGTAGAAGCACCCACCGCTGGATCTGTTATCTTAGCGGGAATTCTCTTAACATTGGGAACTTATGTTTTCTTAAGATTTTCTTTCCCGCTTATATGCTTTCAGCGGTTCTCCCATACCAACGTAGCTACCCGACAATGCCACTGGCATTACAACCGGTCCACCATAGGTTGACCCATCCCAGTCCTTCTCTACGTAGGTCTTGCAGTTCCAATTTAGGCCTAGTCCCTTCCCCTTGTCAATGTAGGTCCCAGAGTGCCAATGCAGGCCCACCCCCCTTCTCAATGTAGTTTCCAGAGTTTTAATACAGGCCCCATAGTTTCAATTTTGAGAAGAGGTTAACAGAGCCCTAACAATGTAGGCCTACCCCCTTCTCCATGTCCCGGAGTTCCGGCGTTAGCCTACCCCCTTGCCCTTGTCAATGTGGCTCGTAGAGATACACTGTAGGCCTACCCCTTCTCAATGTTGGTCGTGGAGTTCCCATGCAGGCCTACCCCACCCCATTCGTCAGTATAGACCCCATAGTGTCCCGATAATTTTCACATTGTGAGAAATTTTGACACCGTTGCCCCCTGTTTCTGGCTGAACCCTGAACCAATTCCTCCCCCCTTTCCCCCCCCCCTTCCCCCATTCCTCTCCCCCTTCTGTGTTTAGGCTCTATTCGCACGTTATTGTATTTTGAAGTTTTTAGTCTAGTAATTTACGTTCTCTACGCGTTTTACGTTGAGTTCTTCTATTCTATACTATACTATTCAGCCACGTGCGCTGGGCAATCCATTTAAAAAAAAAAAAAAACCTTTTATAGACCTTTTTAGCATGGCTACGCCGGACCCGGATCTGGACATTTCCGGACATGGAACCGGACCCGTGTCCGGTAGTTTCCGGACGCCCGGAATTCCGGACATTTCCGGACCTCCGGACATGGGGGGATCCGGACGGTCCGGAAGTCTGGACAGGTCCGGAACGTCCGGACCATTAAAAAAAATAAAATCTGAAAAAAAAGTATGTTATGCAGAATAATAATGCAAACCACTTTTGCCTCAGAGTCATGTCAGAATTCCTAACAAAACTTGAGTTAAAAAGTCAAAAACGATAAAAAGATTTAAAAAAGACTTTAAAAACTAATAAAAGGTAATGAATTATTAATAATTAAAAAAATGGGGTTGTCTAATAAATTACTATAGAGAGAGCATGTCCGGAACCCCCCAAAAAGCATAAACGGGCCTGAAAACCCCCCAAAACAATTTTGGGGGCTTGGCTCCTCAATGGGGAAGGGTCCTGGACCGTTTTTTTTTTGTTTTTTTTTTTCTCGAAATTTGCCAGATCCGGACCTTCCAGACCGGACGTCTGGATTCCGGACTGATCCAGACCGTCCGGACGGCGGTCCAGACGTCCGGATCGTAGCCATGCTTTTTAGTTTATAATAATAATTTAATAATCCATGAACATGGTGATAATATTTTCCCAGCATCTGACCCGTTTCTGTATTTATCTGTCATTTTTTTTGCCGTTTTTTTTCTTTTCTTTTTGGCGGTGTGATTGTTGATTGTAGAGCAGAGCTGCTGCTGCTGCTGCTGCTGAGATCTCCGAACCGAACCCATCGAGATTTCCAAAAATAATCTTATCCACAAACGGAAGCGACAGAACTGGTGGCGGGAAAAGTTCAGGTGTGATCTTTCTTCCTTTGCAGCCTTTTCCTTTTCTTCCTCCCACCCCCGCCACCCAGCCCCCACCCCCCACCCCACCCCCCGGTTTCTTTCTCATTTCCTCTCTCTCCCTTTTTCCTTCCTTACCTTCTTTTCCTCTCTTCTCTTCTTGTGCTTGTCTTCCACTCCATCTCCTGAAATTTCCGACAGCGAAGCATCATGCGACTCTTCGACACTCACACAGCCAAGGTCATGCACACGACTTAGTTCACAAGTTCACACACGTAGCCTTTGGCACACACATGAACACTCTCAGACAAGGCAGCGTTGACGAAGAAGCAGCGGTGACGAAGAAGCAGCAGTTCCTCCTCTCTATTTGATATCTAGTCTTCTTTGTCCACGTGTCATGCGGCTTCTTATTTATCTGATCTTTTTGCGTATCCAAGTGTCAGACCCGCCGGTCATCCATCTAATCTTGCTCTATTTTTATCCTGGACTCGACCTGCCTGTTGTCTGGCCTTCATCTACTTTCCAACCTGTTTATGCCTTGCTCTCTTGCGCGACTCCTTGTTTGGCTGTTGACTTTTTCCCTGCCTGCCTGCCTGCCTGCTGAGGTTTCTTCCTGATGCCCCATCAATAGCAGACATGGTCAACCTAATATACTATGTATCGTCATGTTAAAAACAAAAAAAGACAAAAGCAAGAAGAAGAAACCGAATTTCTCCTCTTTGTTTTCCCTATTCCTGTCCCTTTGTCTTGCTCTCCCTGCATTCAAATCGACTTCTTTTCTCCTCGCCTGTTTGACCACTTTGTCTGGATCAGATTGGTTCGCTTTTCTCCTCCTTCTTCTTCTTCTTCTTCTTCTTCTTCTTCTTCTTCTTCTTCTTCTTCTTCTTCTTCTTCCTCTTCTTCTTCTTCGTCCTCTTCTTCTTCTTCCCCCCGCCGGCTGCGAACGGCCCCTCCTTCTTCTTCCCCCCGCCGGCTGCGAACGGCCCCTCCTTTGTCTTCGTTGTCTATATTGGGACGTCGGCAGGCTCGTTCATTCTCTCCTCCTCCCAGTCCCCCTTCCTCTCGACGTCGTGTTGATGCTAATCTGCGGGGATCTTTGTCTTACCGACAACCTGCTCTGCCACGTCGGCAGCGTTCGTTTTTTACGCGCCGACCCCGCCAGATCACATCTGGCTTTCCAGTGGTGACCGATTCGGATCTGCGGGCAGACCTACCAAATTCTTGTGGTTTGACAGCCACAAATGTCTGCCTACAGGCTTATCAGCGTCAACGTTATAGTGCATCCCAATTTCTTACGATTGCGTATCAGCTTGACGCTGTTGAAAATCAGTTGTTGCTTGACCATAATAGTCCACCT